TTAACTATTAATTATAGCAAAATTTCAGGATATGAGTCAATATACAAATATCAACTATTTTCCTATCATACCTACAAAAACAAATTAAATTAAAAAAAAAAAAAAAAAAACAACTTTACTTAACTACCACCAAAAGTACTATTTCTATAAGAGTTGTTTTTAGAATTCTAACTTGGGAATAATAAGAACCTATTTTCTTCCAGTTCAATAACAAAGATCCTGCTAATTGAGAGGTAACAACCTCAAATGTGAGAGAAAGAACTACGTTACTTTAGCCATAACAAAAAATACACTACCCATCATTGTTTTGATTTTGAAAATATGGAGAGTTGGTAGTGAGGCACGGAAGAGAACAAAAGAAGATCCAAGACAGGTGGGTTATCCATACTCAGTAAAATGTACAGATTATTCATAGATGAGAAGAACTTCTGAGTGGTCTTTTCTCCTTAGCCCAATTTTCAAGTATGCCTTAAGCATTAAAAGAGTGATAAACACATTACAAATATGTAAATTTTTATTTTACTTAATATATGTTCAATGCTTCTTAGATACAGCATCTATATAAATTATTTAGCTGTGGTATGTGAATGCTTTTTTTACAAGGTAGGGGGATTTGTTTGCCTGTTTATCATATGTAATTTATCACTGACAGGCACAGTTTATCATCAGGCAGAGGTATTTCTAAAATACTTCAAGGTAAGTTATACAACTTAAATATAAAAATAAAAGTTCACTAAAATCAGTACAAATATACTACAAAGCTAAGAGACCAACATAAAAATAAAGAGATACTCTTGGTCTTTTTTTTTTTTTTTTTTTATTTTAGGACAGGGTCTACAGGGTCTCACTGTGTAGATTGGACTCGTAGTGATTCTCCTGTTTACAGCCTCCTAAGTGCTGGGATTACAGGCGCACGTCACCATGCCCAGTCTCAATTGCCATCTCAGCATGCCCTAGGGGTGGGCCTGGCATGGCAGGTCCAGGGATCGAACTCAACTCCCAGCCCCTGCGTCTGCCTAAGCAGGCGCTTTAGTCAGCTGAGCTATTTCGCTGGCCCTGTGGTGTTAAATATTGTGAAATATATGTACCCACCAAACCAAATTTTGATTGCCAGCAACCAAGCTGTCTTTATACAATGTCACCACCTAGTGGCCAACCAAATTACATACAATGTACAAATCAAACTTTCTGCTACACATCCAAGTTAATTGTTTAATACAGTCTTTCAAGATAATCGTTCTCTATGGGCATGTTTACCTTAAATGAAATAATATGTAAAATGAATCTAAGCATTATAAAATACTTTAGAGCCCTACTAAATCTTAGTACCCTTCTATATCTTTCGTTCCCCTTGTCTTATAATTTTCATCTTTTTTCCTCTATTGTTGACTGTAAGTTTGAAAATTAGCATAGTCATTCTCTATGGGTAAGAGTGACATCTATAACACTACCCTCAAGGTAGCCCCAAACTCAGTAGACAGTCTCTTTAGATTTTACACATATACAAAGGAAAAACCATTCACTTTCTTTGAAATTCTTTTGAATATAAGGACACAATCTACCTTTTTTTTGAGACAAGGTCCCAGTTTGTAGTGCAGGTTGGCCTTGAACTTGCAATGATACTCCTGCCTCAGCCTCCTAAATTCTGGGATTACCATGCCCACCTATAAGAACACTATCTTATGGAAAAAAGAAATGATATTTATCTTTACCCAATTATATGCAGACCAGACAACTTGTCCATTTCTGAAAATGCTATTTGTATCATTTTCTTTTATAATGGCTTAATTTCCCTATCAAAAGAATATTTTAAGTGTATTACATACCAAGCCACATAAAATCCATTTTACAATTTTACCTACCTCAAAATATTAAAAATATGACAGGCTCAGAAGAATTCATACAACTCAATAGCAAGAAAATAAATAGTCTGATCTCAAAAATGGCAAAGGGTTTGGCCATTTCCCTAAAGAGATATGAATGGTAAATGAATATATTTAAAATGTTCAAAAATCCCTAATTATCAAGAAAATCTAAATTAAGACCACAAAAGGGATAGCATTTCATGCCTGTTAGACTGGTTATTATTTTAAAGAAAAATAGCAACAAGTGTTGGCAAAAAAAAAAAGAATCCTTGTAGGCAGTCAGCAGTTTTGAAAAAGTATGGGGGTTCCTGAGAAAGTTAAAATAAAATCACCATGTAACCCAGCAATCTCACTTCTGGGCATAAAAGGAGTAACTGAAATAAACAGTAAATGTTTAAAGTTCATAAATGTGTCACAAAGACACATTGCCATTAATCCTCCTTAAAACATTTCCTTTCTCTTCCAACACACTCAGCCCACCATCTATTATCATTTTCTGAAGCAGTTCTGGAGGTCCTCTTTTGTGGGTGCTTTTATGAGGCACGATCACAGGGTGAGTTGGCTGCCAGTGCTATCAGATTTGAAAAAGCAGGCTTGTAAAAACATTGTGGTGTGCACTGATCCAAACTTACTCACAAGATCTTGTACCGTGCAACTTCTGACTCTTCCCCCAAAGTCAAAATGACCTCAAAAGGCAACATTTTCAATCAATCCAGGAAAACCAGGCAGATATGACATCACAATTAAACATATATGTTACAGTTTGTGTGTAGCTGTCCCTCCAAAGACTCATGCAGTCATTGGGGCACAGTTCTAGAGTTTGTAATTAATTCATGATACAAGGTTGGAATTATGGATCTGAGTACTGCTGGGATTATGGGTGTGACACGCAGCCTGGGGTTGATGCCTGAAAGCAATATTAGGAGGAGAGAGACTTGCTCTCTGTAGCTGTTGTTGCTGCTGCTCCTCTCTTTTGCTTTTGCTCTTTGCCACCACCAGGAATGGCTGCTCTGTGCTGCCATGTGCT